GCTCGTGAACTATTTGCGAGCAGTTTGATCGAACACTCGACTCAAACTCGGTTGAGCACGAGTTCAAGCTACTTGGGCATCCAACATGCCCTTATTCATAAACATTCGATGTATATAGCGAGTCGAGTTCAAACATCAATATTTAGTACTCGAGTGCTTGACGAGTCTAATCGAACTCAATCGAGTCGAGTTGAAGCTTGAGTAGAGCTGTTAATCGAATTGGGTAGCTCACGAGCCGAGCTCGACCTGGCTCGATAAGGGCTTGACTTGGCTCATTTACTGAGAGAAACGAGCCGAGCTCGAGCTCAATTAGATGCTCGTTTAATAGATGAGCCGAGCTATGCTCAACTCGTTTGAAGCTTGACAAGCTCGAATAGTAGGGGCATTAGCGTCATTTCATTGTGTATTTGATACTCTAACCTAATTCATTCTCTTGTTTCGAGTTCGATAAGCTCGGCTCGTGGTTTTCACTCGAGTTTCGAGCTCGATAAGCTCGACTCGATAGAAAACTCGAGTTCGAGCTCGAGTTTTCTACCGAGTACACCGAGTCGATCTCAAACAACTTGTGAAACTCGAATTACTAATCGAGCTAGCTCGATTGGAGGTTCAAGTCGAGCTCGGTTATCATGTGCTCGAGTTCGACTCGACTCGTTAACAGCTCTAAGCCTGAGTACCACTAGTATTTATCGAGTTCGAACATAGTATTATTCTAACTTGATTCGACTAGACTAGACTGGATAGCACCCTTAGTAGAATGGAGTAGCTAACCATGGCCAATTGGAGAGAGAGATGCCAAACCAATAATAATGGCTTACAGCTTGTATTTATTTATTTATTTTGGTTAAATGAGATTCTAAACCTTACAAAATGGGAAGAATTAGATAATTTAAACCTTACATAAACGTAGCTAAATCATACCTATATATTTCCGAGGTAAGAATTGCGTGAATTAGTAACATATATACTGTCTACTTTTTCTCGAAGTAAAACTTATGCTTCGTTGTGAATAACAGAATGGTTCTCTAGACATACAATATCTGTAACTCAAAATTAGATTCAGCAATAACCAATCAAACCTACGATTCTAAAGCAAATGTGGAGAACCATAAAAGAAAAGATGATAATCATTGACTAATGCTGAAGTGTGTGTGGATTTCTTTATACCACCAGCCTGGGGCAGCATCTCAATCTTCATCCTCACATGATTGATCACTGTCTGATCATTACTTCAAAGGCCACGCAGTACTTGTACGGCTGAGGAGTTGAAGTCCCAGCCTGATGTGAATATGCTTCGGAGGACGCTTGATGTTGAATTGATGGTAATGATTAAAACCATATGCATTTAAGAAAAGGAGGAAGGAGGGGGGGGGGGAGGTGTTACTGGTACAGCACCTAATTGTTATTCTTTTTTTTTTTTTGTCGATACAGGGGTGTCCGGATCAATCTTTACGGGGCCCGACTAATCCCCTGCGACTCGGGTTCGGCGCCCCAACCTGACCCGAACACGTTAAGTGCGCGGAGGAATCCAGCGGAACGGAGACTCAAACTTGTGACCTCAAGATTCACTGGTGAGAGGCGCTGCCGCTGGACCATTCACGCGGGGCACCTAATTGTTATTCCATTCCTATCATTTTTGTAGCACAAAAATGAAAATTTACCTCTGGGGAATCCAAAAACAAATTAAAGGCACAAAACAGTTGTGTTTGATGGGACCAATCCAGAGAACGTTGTCGTCTTCATGCTTCTTAAATTTTCGTTTATATACATACGTTGGCTATCCGTCATTATGCCCACTCACTAAAAGACTTGTGGTTCTGGACCAGGAACAGATAAATAAAGACATCTTTTGTTCTTAATTAGTTTGAATTTTCCTCGCCTGGTTAAACAAATAGGAAAATTACCCTATATGTCAAATCAAGCTTTTGGAAAAGTGGTTTGGCTAAGCTTTGCATCCCAAATAGCAAAAAGGAGACAATGATTTCTAACCTTTTACGGGAATCTAGTATCTTGTGTCTCTCATCTCTTTCTTTCTTTCTTTCTGAACATGAACTCGTACTAATACCACCATAATAACCAGTGAGTGACCTAACACACCTGGAAAAATATAATATTTATGTTGACTAATTATCGTTGGGCAAATGTACGTGTAGTTCCTTCTTAGTTTTGTAATTCGAAATTCTCAAAACTCCCTCTTTTTCAAGGTAAAGCTTAGCAGCTGGACAAATACTCAATTAAGTATTCATTTGTTCACAAATTAAGGATCCTCCCAAAGAGATCTGATATGCCCGATTGGCCATGTGCATCTGTCATGGGATTTTCCATTTCTGGTGGTTTTTTTTTTTCTTTTTCTTTTGTCCGATTTCCCTTGTGCCAATTAATTAGGTTTTTAATTAAGGTCTGTCGATATAGCCAGTGCCCTAGATAAAAATCGAAATTATATAGTGAAGAATGATTTCAAGCTCAAACTCAGAGAAAATTGCATGAACATGGCTTCTATTTTTCAAGACAAATACTAGGTTGCCCGTGTACATTATCACAGAATTTAAATGTTTTAAGTGAAAATTTGAGCTTCTATCACTGCATTCATGTAAAATCAAGCAGGTGGTGGCAGTAATTTTTTCCATCACTACGAAGTAGATGAATCACAAAAGTAGAATGAGTCCAATGCTGCTGCCTTCCATTGACGTTATGGTTCTCCAACTCGTGTAATCTAAGTTAACCAAAAAAGGAAAAAAGAAAAAGTAAAAGCGAACTTGTAACTTTGGCATATAATTGCACTCAACCAACATGAGATGTTTGCGCTTTTGTTTCTACATTCCAACGGTCACCTGCCAAAGTAAGTACATCCGTAAAAGGCAGAAGAAAACCACACAAGATCTCTTACTTAATTTGAGCTCCTTTCTTACATTCCAAGAATCCTTCCAGGCCTAAGTAGGAGATCGTATCATCTACAGATTTCTCCCTAGCTGCACCACACCATTTTTTGCATCATGCAAAGATTTGGGTTTTACAGAATTTGAAGTATTTTTACTTCATCCATTTATCTTATTTAAAAAAGACAAAAAAAAAAAAGAAAAAAAGAAGAAGAAGAAGAGTTCCATTCATTGAGTTTTATAGTACTTCATCAGTGCCATATCCTTAACTCCTCTAGGGATCGATGTATGGAAGCTTTGTGAAAGTAGTGCAAAAAAATCAACTGCTACAGACAGCACAAGTGTATTATCATCAATCACTGATCATCTTGTCAAGGGCTGCACGTGATTGATGATACGTAAGTGATAGCCTAATCGAAAGAAATCAAGAGTGAAGCCCTTTCTAACACAGGCCAGAATAATGGATTCTGCCTCCACTAATGTCATGGTCATTGACATTGCTGTTAGCAACAAATTGCAAAATATCATTCCCCTTGGCCATGCACGGCAGCATATATGGCAATATGCTACTTTTCACCTTCCAAAATCTTCCAATAAATCACATTCTAAACCATCTATTCATGAAAGTCGACAACACCTCATGTATGTATACAGTCTAATGCCAAAAGGGGGGGAAAAAAAAAAATTAAGAACCAACCATACAGGAACCCAAGAAAAAGAAAAAAAAAAAAAAAAGGACTAGACGTACAGTAAAGGACTTGTACAACAAACTCTAGCTTGTTCAAAGAAATATTCAAACTTGTAGCCAAATGCGACCAAAGTGTCTAGATCGGGCTCCTCCGACAAGTGATCACAATAATGTACGCTTCTAATATTTGGCCGAATGCCATCGATGTTTTAAGCGAGAAGCTTCGCAGAAATTAACCATTCCATTCCTGCTTGGGCCGTGCATTACAGGGAAGCCGTTTTCATCATGTTTCGGATTTAGAAGGGCGAAAAGGATAACTTCGGTCTAATATCTCTGTCTGTGTCAAAGTCGTGGTTCAATGATACTGCAGAATTAAGTTGCATTCACAATATTCTCTTTCAATTGCTTATCTTTATTTTATTTCTTTATTCTTTTCTTAACGTTTGAATTTCCAAGCTACAGCAAACTTATGTCCGAAGGTACCAACGCACCATTTAGGTCGCGAATAAGTTATTATTTGATCATTCTACAAAAAAGGAAATTATGCGAGTTCTATATCAAATAAGTACTTATTCAATCATGTGTTTCTGAGATTAATATTCGTTGTATGCTGATTGAACCAGATGGTTCGCACCAACAAGAAAAAGAAAATTGGAAAGGTAGAACATTATTTGGGTAATTAAGATGTTCAGTCACTCAATGGAACATTAAGAGTGATATAAAACTAATTAAACTCGAGAATTTCGGGCAAAACTAAAAAGGAAAAGTGCCATACATATGGTGAAGAGAATGAATCCTCCAATGGGCTGGAAATTGGGTTTTTGTTGGAAGGCTCATTTGTTTTTTCTTAAGAGGCTGTAGCAGTAATATAACATTTGCTAATCGATTTTTTCCATCTTCAGCCTCCTGGGCTCACACAATTAGGCAGGCGCTTAGGGCAGTAGCTCGGCTCATTTTCAGCCCACTCTTTCATCAGATTTTTTTGGGCCCCTAACGAAAACCCAAAATCCTGTGTCACTCACAGTGGGCAGCAAGGCGTTGGCTTTCTTGCACTCTACATGAATTGGCATTGTCAAACTGCATGGCTATCTAGGATTGTACTTTTACTGCAGACTAGGAGGGGAACACCGCGCATCGCGCGGTGAAAATTTTCATGTTTGCCCAGTTATGCATGGTACATAATTAAATTTCAAGCTTGTCCAATTATTTAGGTTTTTCCAGTTATACAAAGTACATAATTGTTGCAAATTATATTAAGCTGAATCATAAATATTGTATTCACCCATTCAAAATTAGATAAAGCTGTGTCGTATTTATCCATTCAAAAGTTTCTAAAGCAATTAGCAAGAGTAATTTTCGATGATACTGTAACTGTGAAGTGGATCCATGTAAGCAGACTTGAGAAAATAGACTCTCATCTAGAAAGAAAACGAAAAGTATAATTGTAAGTTACGGACTTACTGGATTTCTTTCTCCACCAGATTTTACCATTAGAAAGCAGTATCAGTACAATATACTTAATGTTCCAAAAGGTATAAATTATAAAAATACAAAAAGCCTATGAAATGCCCTTTTTCTCTCAACTACTAACACCCATGAAGACTCCCTTTTTTAATGTAAATACTAAGAGATACAAGACTCAAACACAATCGGGAGTGGAGAGCTGCATATGCTTCCAATCTGTGATAAGATAAACAAGTCATTATCTCAAGTTTAGAACCTTGTTGATACAGCAAATGAGATACGATAAAGCAAATGAAATAGATATATAATGGAAATATTTTGGGTGCATGATAACAACAAAGAAAGGTATCAATACCTTTCAAAATGGCATTTGAGGCCAAAATATTCATCCACTGACCCAACAAATTTTATCACTTTAATCTTGTTTTCCTACAACAGTAGAAACTTATTCAAAAATGTTTTTGAATCTTGGAATTAAAATCACCAAAAGACGAAAGAAGTTCAATTTCTTTGGAATTCATAAAACGTAGAGACATAAAGAAAAGAATACAGGAACTTGTAGAATAGAAAACTTGCAATATTATTTTTTGAACTAATCTTGACTATTTAAATAACATAAAGTAAGAACTCACCAAGGAGGCTTCATACTCTTGTTTCATCAAATGTAATAAAACATCTCTACACCACCAAGTAGATACACAACTATTTATTTGGCTGAGTTAGACTAAGTATAAAAATTGTGTATCTCATGTTTAAAGGTTTGAAACTGCACACTTGTCAAATGGATTTAAACCAAATTTTGCATTCCCACTTGTGCTCCCAAAAAAGGACAAGATATTAATCAGCCAATAGTCTGCACCTTTTTGTCATTACTTATGGGTTGTATATAAGTTCTTACTTGAATTCGAGAAAAGAAGAAAGACAAATTTTTTTTTTGTATAATACATACTGTATAAAAAAATCAATAAAAAAGAAAATGACAACTTCTTTAGTGCTACAATTTAAACATGTTTCACCTTTTTTTAAAAAGACATTTTTTAAACCGTTTCAGCCATTTAATTAGTTAAACCACTTCCTAAATTGTCAAGTCCTTGTGCTCCAATGAAACAGCAAAAGTGGCATGCCACTTAAGTTCCTAATTTATATTAAATCTACCATAGGAATTTTCTCGTCTTGATTTTTGTGCTTATTTTAGTAGCCAAAATTTTAAAGTCAATGATTAAAAAACTTATTTACATAACACGCCAAACATCTTACTAAAGCAAGTAGCACATTGTGGGCATAATCAAACATATTGATACAAAACTAAGAAAACAAGAGACCAAGAATTTAATTTCACTTACTTGAGTTATAAATTGCTATCCAAAAGTGTGAAATAGCTGGCTACCTATCTCTCATAGTAGACTACGTATGCATAAACAGTTGCACCTTTGCACCTTTATCTTGGGCACAATTTTCTTACTTCTATTTTGAAAAGAAAAAAAAAGAAATTTAGAACCAAGTTTTTACCATAGCCACGATGCACAGGTATTCAAAGATTCAAGAGTCAAAAGAATTAGCTTTCTGGATGATGCCCTTTGTGTCTTGCTTAGGAACCTTATATACGCTTCAATCAAACAAATTAAATTGCAGCAAGAAGTACAATTACTAACATGCATATCTTAAGTCATAACCATTTTCTTTTTTGTCAGGAAGAAATTACCTTATTTCTATGTGCTTTGGTAGCCATCAACTATGAGGAAAAAATGATCAAAAAGGATGTCCCATAATAGCTTAAACAAATAAAAGCTAGAACAAGAACAAAACCAAGAAAATGATTTGAGAAATCACCAAACAATAGAATCATTATGGGAACAAGAGGAGGTTCATCAAATAGAGCCGAGAAAGAGTATTCATTGCCAAGATATCATCAATATACATTATATTTAGTCATACTAACACAAAATCAATAAGATTCCAACATTACTACAATATGTCTTGTTTTTTTACAACTAAACACTCACCAATGGAAAAATTGCAAAGATAATCTGGCCGCAACCAATTGTTTTTTATTTTGTATTGCTAGCAAAACAGTCAGATATTCCCCTATATATGAAGTTTCACTTGGAGGTTAATCTTTTTATTCCCACAATCCATTTTGCAGTTTCAGGGAATGCTTCAATATGATGCAAAATATACGAGAAGAGAAAAACATAAAAAATAAAAATGAAATAGGTAATCCACTAACTTTAAATCTAGAGGAAATAGGATAACCTTCCCAAACAATCATCCTCCACTTTTTTCAAGACCAATAAATAGGGCAAAGTGAGAAAAAATTTACAATAAACTACTACGGAGGGATGGGGAAATGAAGAGAACACAAAAACATTAAAACACACCTTCATGGTTGAATGGAGAAAAGCAGCCTCCTTTTTCCTTGTTCCTTTATCTAGCAATAATATAGAACAAACAAATGCTGAAAAAAACAAATTAATTAGGAAAAAGAAAAGACAAAATCAAATTAGATAAACTTTTTTCCAGGGAAAGAAACATAGAGTCTAAATAATGTGCACTTTGAGAAAAGAATTTCTCCAATCCTTTGTTGCATATCTTAATATCTTGTAATAAACATTTGGTACATATTAGAGCATAAAGGATATGAAGCAAAACAATAGCAACAAAGCCTGAGGATTAGCAGGAAGCAAAGAACTTGTGTTTGCCAAACCATAAATAGGCATTAAGCACTAAACATTTGAATGCATTTCCAAAGTTTCACATCCAAATTGATTAAGAAACCAAAATTAAAGAAAAAGCCAACTGAAAAAATCGAAAAAAGGTAAAGAAAAAACAAATCCAGATTTTTTCATCAAAGAAAACTATCAAATTCCGCATATGATAAATTTCAACCAGCTAGACCTCTTGTTTCTTTTGGGTGGTTCTGCTTGACTAGCAATGCAAAACATAAAGGACCGAGACTGGAACCTGAAATATTAAAATCTCAAAAAAAAGTCAACTTATATAATGCAAATACATGTTAAATACAAATACTAAAGCAAATCATATGATTTTTTCCCAAACAAAATCTGCTTGTTTGAAGCAAATCATGTCCACATCACGCCTGTGCTACCCTACGTTTTGCTATAGCCATAATAAAAATCTCTTCTATATGATCATAAAGTAAATGACATCCCAAAAAAATGGTAGAAATAAATCTTGGTGAATAAATCAACATGAGTAAATGTTTTTTACACCTGCAGTCTTCAAGGCAATAAAAAAACACTGATTCCTAAAGCAAAAATATTTACCCAAGCAATAGCAATATGTCGAGATCTAAAGGCACTAAGCCAAGTATAACTAAGCTAAACTTCTCTAGCAAAACTGCTGCATTAAGCAAATATGCAGCCATAATTTCCTCTTATACCTGTTAATGGTCTCTAAATACATGCTAGGAATAAACTCACCACATGTAATAGTCTTTTATACACACACATACACATACTTCACCACTGTTCTATAATAATCTGGACTAAACATTTTAATCTTTAGTCCAAATCAAAACATCATATGCAAAAAATAGATAGACACACAGACCAGCCATTTTTGTAATAACTGGTTATCTAGGTGTGATATTTCAAGTAAACCTCTTTTTGTTCCTAATACAAGAAACACACATGGAACAAAATGTTATCCGGTGATTAGCAAATGAAAGATAATGAACAAATTATACCTTAGCAGCATCTTTCAAGGATTTGTGGTAGAGTTCACTACTTAAATTCTGCAAAATGAGAATCAAGAACCACCAAAATAAATCAGCAGAATGTAGTGTTTTATCACCAAATTACATATACCTTAGGCAGCATCTAGTTAATGTTCATACAGAGTTGCTCTGTCAATTGACAAATCTTTAACATGCCTTTTATGCTTGTTCTTTCCCATGTTAAGACTTCTCTCACTCCACTGCCAATTAGTCCCACTCTAACTTATTTTTTGTAACCTGTTAACATATTAATTAGTCAAATAATAATCCTCTAATTGCTAAAAACACATGTCATACACAATATAAACCCAGAAGGAAAACCCGTCTAAAATAAGTTGCATGAAAAAAGGTAGGAAGGCTACTATTAACAAACTGTTCACTAATGAATTAAAGGAGTGAATTTCAAATTATTAGAGCCGATTTTCACATATCAGTTTCTACCATCTATAATTGAGCATAGACATTTCTGATTCATGATATTTGTTCAAAATCTGGTATTTTAATAAAACAGAAGGCTGAAGGGAAAAAATCATCAGAAGATTGCACCTATATAATATCCAACCTCACACTTTTTCTTTTGTCTAAATAAATAGACCAACCAAAATATTATGGGTAAAAAACCTGCACCATGACAAAGATTACACATTCGTACTCATGGGGAAAAATCTTAAATAGAAGACCTCTCTAAGAGATTAGCATTTAAAAACAGATATTTTTCCTTTTGTAAAACTACAATAGAAGAAGAGATTATATAAGCACATAAAGCTTCTCCTTTTTATCAGTAAGTGAAGACCATGAGAAGAGAGAGGAAATTCATGGATAGAGGAACAAAGTCTTTCGGTTGAAAATCAAGAAAATAGATTATAGGGGACAACTTTTTTCCAATTTTAGTTGCTATTTAACAAATTAACAGTTTTAACATTTTGTCAAACATTTGATAAATTAAACATGATTATATCATTACATTACTTTAAAACAGAAAAGGGGAAAAGGGAAAGAAGTAACCCCACGTACAAAAAGACCCAAAAAGTGGAGACCTATGAAATGCACAAATGAATCCAACGTCTAGTGAGGATTGATCAATTTTAAGTTTAAAAGGCTCAAGGAAACATGATAAATTTAAACTTTCCAAGACACAACTAAGAGGATAAACACTTCATGATAACCAAAATTGAAACTTACATCTAATATGTCATAACAAGAAATAAATAACAAAAAAATCCAAAGCAATCTCTTTTGCAGAGAAAAAAATAAAGAAAAGCAGAGTATAAACTGTAATCACATATACGCAAATAGAAGAAGGCTCGCTCAAAACATTCACCAATATTATGCAAAATAGGTTGGGAATATGTTGATCCATACCACCTTATTAGTAGTTTTTGAGAGAATCAAAGAAAATTCCAATTTTTGGACCTGCAACGTCACCAAAATATACAAATTATATAATCAAACATGGATAAGGAACTTTTTAAATCCACCAGAAATAACTTAATCAAATTTGTTAACTGCATTTTAATGTTTTTTAGTCACGGACGGAAAAGATGGAAATCAGGCAAAAGTAAGGGGAGGAAACAGCAAAAATAACTCTTCTTTTAGAAAATAACCATATAAAACCTACCTTCAAAAAAGGGGGGGAAAGCTCAGAAAATAGCATGAGAATGATGGAGGTAATCTGCAAATTTCGTAACTGCAACATCTAAACATTGCAAAAGGAAAAAAAAAAGGAAATTAAAAAAGAAGGAAAAAATACATAAGGCTAGAGAAGCTCTAGAAAAAGAAGGAAAAATAAATTTTGAAGCGAAGCAAAAAATTCCCAACCATATATTTGGTATTGTTGTCGTCGATCAGAGAAAATGAAGGATAAGATAGGAAAAGGAGCAGCTTCAAGAGGGAAGATAGACTTACAAAGTAGCATGAGAACGATAGAGAAAATCTCCAAATTTCGTACCTGCAAAATCGCAACATCACAGACAGCAAAAAAATAAGACAATCTAACCCGTAAAAAAGGGGAAAAACAAAAGGTTAGAGAAGCTCTAGAAAGGAGGAGGAAGAAGAAAATTTTGAAACAAAAAAAAATACCAACCATATCTTGGTTTCGTTGTTGTCGATCGGAAAAATGAAGGATAAAAGAGGGAAAATGGCACCGTTGGTGATGACGAACAGGAACAAGAAGAGAGGAAGAAGAGCTTTTTGGGGGAAAGAGACAGACATCGAAAGAAAGGAGAAGAAAAGGCGTTGGTCTGAGCTCTGATGTTTCTCTTTCTCGAGCCATGTGCACACCTGACACCACGGAAAAGGAATCTTTGGTAAATCCCAGTCTCTTGTACTATGCTTGGTTGATATAACCAAGTTCGGCGCCTGTCCAATTGTCAAACGGGCTGGACGACCATCAAGAGGAAAGAATCACGGGCCGGACGACCACCAATCATCCAATGGAAGCCAGCCACGTCAGCAATTGAAGCCCAATTGAAAACCTCCCCATTCCCGCATAGACTAGATATGTTAATAAATGACATCCCAAAAAAATGGTAGAAATAAATCTTGGTGAATAAATCAACATGAGTAAATGTTTTTTACACCTGCAGTCTTCAAGGCAATAAAAAAACACTGATTCCTAAAGCAAAAATATTTACCCAAGCAATAGCAATATGTCGAGATCTAAAGGCACTAAGCCAAGTATAACTAAGCTAAACTTCTCTAGCAAAACTGCTGCATTAAGCAAATATGCAGCCATAATTTCCTCTTATACCTGTTAATGGTCTCTAAATACATGCTAGGAATAAACTCACCACATGTAATAGTCTTTTATACACACACATACACATACTTCACCACTGTTCTATAATAATCTGGACTAAACATTTTAATCTTTAGTCCAAATCAAAACATCATATGCAAAAAATAGATAGACACACAGACCAGCCATTTTTGTAATAACTGGTTATCTAGGTGTGATATTTCAAGTAAACCTCTTTTTGTTCCTAATACAAGAAACACACATGGAACAAAATGTTATCCGGTGATTAGCAAATGAAAGATAATGAACAAATTATACCTTAGCAGCATCTTTCAAGGATTTGTGGTAGAGTTCACTACTTAAATTCTGCAAAATGAGAATCAAGAACCACCAAAATAAATCAGCAGAATGTAGTGTTTTATCACCAAATTACATATACCTTAGGCAGCATCTAGTTAATGTTCATACAGAGTTGCTCTGTCAATTGACAAATCTTTAACATGCCTTTTATGCTTGTTCTTTCCCATGTTAAGACTTCTCTCACTCCACTGCCAATTAGTCCCACTCTAACTTATTTTTTGTAACCTGTTAACATATTAATTAGTCAAATAATAATCCTCTAATTGCTAAAAACACATGTCATACACAATATAAACCCAGAAGGAAAACCCGTCTAAAATAAGTTGCATGAAAAAAGGTAGGAAGGCTACTATTAACAAACTGTTCACTAATGAATTAAAGGAGTGAATTTCAAATTATTAGAGCCGATTTTCACATATCAGTTTCTACCATCTATAATTGAGCATAGACATTTCTGATTCATGATATTTGTTCAAAATCTGGTATTTTAATAAAACAGAAGGCTGAAGGGAAAAAATCATCAGAAGATTGCACCTATATAATATCCAACCTCACACTTTTTCTTTTGTCTAAATAAATAGACCAACCAAAATATTATGGGTAAAAAACCTGCACCATGACAAAGATTACACATTCGTACTCATGGGGAAAAATCTTAAATAGAAGACCTCTCTAAGAGATTAGCATTTAAAAACAGATATTTTTCCTTTTGTAAAACTACAATAGAAGAAGAGATTATATAAGCACATAAAGCTTCTCCTTTTTATCAGTAAGTGAAGACCATGAGAAGAGAGAGGAAATTCATGGATAGAGGAACAAAGTCTTTCGGTTGAAAATCAAGAAAATAGATTATAGGGGACAACTTTTTTCCAATTTTAGTTGCTATTTAACAAATTAACAGTTTTAACATTTTGTCAAACATTTGATAAATTAAACATGATTATATCATTACATTACTTTAAAACAGAAAAGGGGAAAAGGGAAAGAAGTAACCCCACGTACAAAAAGACCCAAAAAGTGGAGACCTATGAAATGCACAAATGAATCCAACGTCTAGTGAGGATTGATCAATTTTAAGTTTAAAAGGCTCAAGGAAACATGATAAATTTAAACTTTCCAAGACACAACTAAGAGGATAAACACTTCATGATAACCAAAATTGAAACTTACATCTAATATGTCATAACAAGAAATAAATAACAAAAAAATCCAAAGCAATCTCTTTTGCAGAGAAAAAAATAAAGAAAAGCAGAGTATAAACTGTAATCACATATACGCAAATAGAAGAAGGCTCGCTCAAAACATTCACCAATATTATGCAAAATAGGTTGGGAATATGTTGATCCATACCACCTTATTAGTAGTTTTTGAGAGAATCAAAGAAAATTCCAATTTTTGGACCTGCAACGTCACCAAAATATACAAATTATATAATCAAACATGGATAAGGAACTTTTTAAATCCACCAGAAATAACTTAATCAAATTTGTTAACTGCATTTTAATGTTTTTTAGTCACGGACGGAAAAGATGGAAATCAGGCAAAAGTAAGGGGAGGAAACAGCAAAAATAACTCTTCTTTTAGAAAATAACCATATAAAACCTACCTTCAAAAAAGGGGGGGAAAGCTCAGAAAATAGCATGAGAATGATGGAGGTAATCTGCAAATTTCGTAACTGCAACATCTAAACATTGCAAAAGGAAAAAAAAAAGGAAATTAAAAAAGAAGGAAAAAATACATAAGGCTAGAGAAGCTCTAGAAAAAGAAGGAAAAATAAATTTTGAAGCGAAGCAAAAAATTCCCAACCATATATTTGGTATTGTTGTCGTCGATCAGAGAAAATGAAGGATAAGATAGGAAAAGGAGCAGCTTCAAGAGGGAAGATAGACTTACAAAGTAGCATGAGAACGATAGAGAAAATCTCCAAATTTCGTACCTGCAAAATCGCAACATCACAGACAGCAAAAAAATAAGACAATCTAACCCGTAAAAAAGGGGAAAAACAAAAGGTTAGAGAAGCTCTAGAAAGGAGGAGGAAGAAGAAAATTTTGAAACAAAAAAAAATACCAACCATATCTTGGTTTCGTTGTTGTCGATCGGAAAAATGAAGGATAAAAGAGGGAAAATGGCACCGTTGGTGATGACGAACAGGAACAAGAAGAGAGGAAGAAGAGCTTTTTGGGGGAAAGAGACAGACATCGAAAGAAAGGAGAAGAAAAGGCGTTGGTCTGAGCTCTGATGTTTCTCTTTCTCGAGCCATGTGCACACCTGACACCACGGAAAAGGAATCTTTGGTAAATCCCAGTCTCTTGTACTATGCTTGGTTGATATAACCAAGTTCGGCGCCTGTCCAATTGTCAAACGGGCTGGACGACCATCAAGAGGAAAGAATCACGGGCCGGACGACCACCAATCATCCAATGGAAGCCAGCCACGTCAGCAATTGAAGCCCAATTGAAAACCTCCCCATTCCCGCATAGACTAGATATGTTAATAAATGACATCCCAAAAAAATGGTAGAAATAAATCTTGGTGAATAAATCAACATGAGTAAATGTTTTTTACACCTGCAGTCTTCAAGGCAATAAAAAAACACTGATTCCTAAAGCAAAAATATTTACCCAAGCAATAGCAATATGTCGAGATCTAAAGGCACTAAGCCAAGTATAACTAAGCTAAACTTCTCTAGCAAAACTGCTGCATTAAGCAAATATGCAGCCATAATTTCCTCTTATACCTGTTAATGGTCTCTAAATACATGCTAGGAATAAACTCACCACATGTAATAGTCTTTTATACACACACATACACATACTTCACCACTGTTCTATAATAATCTGGACTAAACATTTTAATCTTTAGTCCAAATCAAAACATCATATGCAAAAAATAGATAGACACACAGACCAGCCATTTTTGTAATAACTGGTTATCTAGGTGTGATATTTCAAGTAAACCTCTTTTTGTTCCTAATACAAGAAACACACATGGAACAAAATGTTATCCGGTGATTAGCAAATGAAAGATAATGAACAAATTATACCTTAGCAGCATCTTTCAAGGATTTGTGGTAGAGTTCACTACTTAAATTCTGCAAAATGAGAATCAAGAACCACCAAAATAAATCAGCAGAATGTAGTGTTTTATCACCAAATTACATATACCTTAGGCAGCATCTAGTTAATGTTCATACAGAGTTGCTCTGTCAATTGACAAATCTTTAACATGCCTTTTATGCTTGTTCTTTCCCATGTTAAGACTTCTCTCACTCCACTGCCAATTAGTCCCACTCTAACTTATTTTTTGTAACCTGTTAACATATTAATTAGTCAAATAATAATCCTCTAATTGCTAAAAACACATGTCATACACAATATAAACCCAGAAGGAAAACCCGTCTAAAATAAGTTGCATGAAAAAAGGTAGGAAGGCTACTATTAACAAACTGTTCACTAATGAATTAAAGGAGTGAATTTCAAATTATTAGAGCCGATTTTCACATATCAGTTTCTACCATATATAATTGAGCATAGACATTTCTGATTCATGATATTTGTTCAAAATCTGGTATTTTAATAAAACAGAAGGCTGAAGGGAAAAAATCATCAGAAGATTGCACCTATATAATATCCAACCTCACACTTTTTCTTTTGTCTAAATAAATAGACCAACCAAAATATTATGGGTAAAAAACCTGCACCATGACAAAGATTACACATTCGTACTCATGGGGAAAAATCTTAAATAGAAGACCTCTCTAAGAGATTAGCATTTAAAAACAGATATTTTTCCTTTTGTAAAACTACAATAGAAGAAGAGATTATATAAGCACATAAAGCTTCTCCTTTTTATCAGTAAGTGAAGACCATGAGAAGAGAGAGGAAATTCATGGATAGAGGAACAAAGTCTTTCGGTTGAAAATCAAGAAAATAGGTTATAGGGGACAACTTTTTTCCAATTTTAGTTGCTATTTAACAAATTAACAGTTTTAACATTTTGTCAAACATTTGATAAATTAAACATGATTATATCATTACATTACTTTAAAACAGAAAAGGGGAAAAGGGAAAGAAGTAACCCCACGTACAAAAAGACCCAAAAAGTGGAGACCTATGAAATGCACAAATGAATCCAACGTCTAGTGAGGATTGATCAATTTTAAGTTTAAAAGGCTCAAGGAAACATGATAAATTTAAACTTTCCAAGACACAACTAAGAGGATAAACACTTCATGATAACCAAAATTGAAACTTACATCTAATATGTCATAACAAGAAATAAATAACAAAAAAATCCAAAGCAATCTCTTTTGCAGAGAAAAAAATAAAGAAAAGCAGAGTATAAACTGTAATCACATATACGCAAATAGAAGAAGGCTCGCTCAAAACATTCACCAATATTATGCAAAATAGGTTGGGAATATGTTGATCCATACCACCTTATTAGTAGTTTTTGAGAGAATCAAAGAAAATTCCAATTTTTGGACCTGCAACGTCACCAAAATATACAAATTATATAATCAAACATGGATAAGGAACTTTTTAAATCCACCAGAAATAACTTAATCAAATTTGTTAACTGCATTTTAATGTTTTTTAGTCACGGACGGAAAAGATGGAAATCAGGCAAAAGTAAGGGGAGGAAACAGCAAAAATAACTCTTCTTTTAGAAAATAACCATATAAAACCTACCTTCAAAAAAGGGGGGGAAAGCTCAGAAAATAGCATGAGAATGATGGAGGTAATCTGCAAATTTCGTAACTGCAACATCTAAACATTGCAAAAGGAAAAAAAAAAGGAAATTAAAAAAGAAGGAAAAAATACATAAGGCTAGAGAAGCTCTAGAAAAAGAAGGAAAAATAAATTTTGAAGCGAAGCAAAAAATTCCCAACCATATATTTGGTATTGTTGTCGTCGATCAGAGAAAATGAAGGATAAGATAGGAAAAGGAGCAGCTTCAAGAGGGAAGATAGACTTACAAAGTAGCATGAGAACGATAGAGAAAATCTCCAAATTTCGTACCTGCAAAATCGCAACATCACAGACAGCAAAAAAATAAGACAATCTAACCCGTAAAAAAGGGGAAAAACAAAAGGTTAGAGAAGCTCTAGAAAGGAGGAGGAAGAAGAAAATTTTGAAACAAAAAAAAATACCAACCATATCTTGGTTTCGTTGTTGTCGATCGGAAAAATGAAGGATAAAAGAGGGAAAATGGCACCGTTGGTGATGACGAACAGGAACAAGAAGAGAGGAAGAAGAGCTTTTTGGGGGAAAGAGACAGACATCGAAAGAAAGGAGAAGAAAAGGCGTTGGTCTGAGCTCTGATGTTTCTCTTTCTCGAGCCATGTGCACACCTGACACCACGGAAAAGGAATCTTTGGTAAATCCCAGTCTCTTGTACTATGCTTGGTTGATATAACCAAGTTCGGCGCCTGTCCAATTGTCAAACGGGCTGGACGACCATCAAGAGGAAAGAATCACGGGCCGGACGACCACCAATCATCCAATGGAAGCCAGCCACGTCAGCAATTGAAGCCCAATTGAAAACCTCCCCATTCCCGCATAGACTAGATATGTTAATAAATGACATCCCAAAAAAATGGTAGAAATAAATCTTGGTGAATAAATCAACATGAGTAAATGTTTTTTACACCTGCAGTCTTCAAGGCAATAAAAAAACACTGATTCCTAAAGCAAAAATATTTACCCAAGCAATAGCAATATGTCGAGATCTAAAGGCACTAAGCCAAGTATAACTAAGCTAAACTTCTCTAGCAAAACTGCTGCATTAAGCAAATATGCAGCCATAATTTCCTCTTATACCTGTTAATGGTCTCTAAATACATGCTAGGAATAAACTCACCACATGTAATAGTCTTTTATACACACACATACACATACTTCACCACTGTTCTATAATAATCTGGACTAAACATTTTAATCTTTAGTCCAAATCAAAACATCATATGCAAAAAATAGATAGACACACAGACCAGCCATTTTTGTAATAACTGGTTATCTAGGTGTGATATTTCAAGTAAACCTCTTTTTGTTCCTAATACAAGAAACACACATGGAACAAAATGTTATCCGGTGATTAGCAAATGAAAGATAATGAACAAATTATACCTTAGCAGCATCTTTCAAGGATTTGTGGTAGAGTTCACTACTTAAATTCTGCAAAATGAGAATCAAGAACCACCAAAATAAATCAGCAGAATGTAGTGTTTTATCACCAAATTACATATACCTTAGGCAGCATCTAGTTAATGTTCATACAGAGTTGCTCTGTCAATTGACAAATCTTTAACATGCCTTTTATGCTTGTTCTTTCCCATGTTAAGACTTCTCTCACTCCACTGCCAATTAGTCCCACTCTAACTTATTTTTTGTAACCTGTTAACATATTAATTAGTCAAATAATAATCCTCTAATTGCTAAAAACACATGTCATACACAATATAAACCCAGAAGGAAAACCCGTCTAAAATAAGTTGCATGAAAAAAGGTAGGAAGGCTACTATTAACAAACTGTTCACTAATGAATTAAAGGAGTGAATTTCAAATTATTAGAGCCGATTTTCACATATCAGTTTCTACCATCTATAATTGAGCATAGACATTTCTGATTCATGATATTTGTTCAAAATCTGGTATTTTAATAAAACAGAAGGCTGAAGGGAAAAAATCATCAGAAGATTGCACCTATATAATATCCAACCTCACACTTTTTCTTTTGTCTAAATAAATAGACCAACCAAAATATTATGGGTAAAAAACCTGCACCATGACAAAGATTACACATTCGTACTCATGGGGAAAAATCTTAAATAGAAGACCTCTCTAAGAGATTAGCATTTAAAAACAGATATTTTTCCTTTTGTAAAACTACAATAGAAGAAGAGATTATATAAGCACATAAAGCTTCTCCTTTTTATCAGTAAGTGAAGACCATGAGAAGAGAGAGGAAATTCATGGATAGAGGAACAAAGTCTTTCGGTTGAAAATCAAGAAAATAGATTATAGGGGACAACTTTTTTCCAATTTTAGTTGCTATTTAACAAATTAACAGTTTTAACATTTTGTCAAACATTTGATAAATTAAACATGATTATATCATTACATTACTTTAAAACAGAAAAGGGGAAAAGGGAAAGAAGTAACCCCACGTACAAAAAGACCCAAAAAGTGGAGACCTATGAAATGCACAAATGAATCCAACGTCTAGTGAGGATTGATCAATTTTAAGTTTAAAAGGCTCAAGGAAACATGATAAATTTAAACTTTCCAAGACACAACTAAGAGGATAAACACTTCATGATAACCAAAATTGAAACTTACATCTAATATGTCATAACAAGAAATAAATAACAAAAAAATCCAAAGCAATCTCTTTTGCAGAGAAAAAAATAAAGAAAAGCAGAGTATAAACTGTAATCACATATACGCAAATAGAAGAAGGCTCGCTCAAAACATTCACCAATATTATGCAAAATAGGTTGGGAATATGTTGATCCATACCACCTTATTAGTAGTTTTTGAGAGAATCAAAGAAAATTCCAATTTTTGGACCTGCAACGTCACCAAAATATACAAATTATATAATCAAACATGGATAAGGAACTTTTTAAATCCACCAGAAATAACTTAATCAAATTTGTTAACTGCATTTTAATGTTTTTTAGTCACGGACGGAAAAGATGGAAATCAGGCAAAAGTAAGGGGAGGAAACAGCAAAAATAACTCTTCTTTTAGAAAATAACCATATAAAACCTACCTTCAAAAAAGGGGGGGAAAGCTCAGAAAATAGCATGAGAATGATGGAGGTAATCTGCAAATTTCGTAACTGCAACATCTAAACATTGCAAAAGGAAAAAAAAAAGGAAATTAAAAAAGAAGGAAAAAATACATAAGGCTAGAGAAGCTCTAGAAAAAGAAGGAAAAATAAATTTTGAAGCGAAGCAAAAAATTCCCAACCATATATTTGGTATTGTTGTCGTCGATCAGAGAAAATGAAGGATAAGATAGGAAAAGGAGCAGCTTCAAGAGGGAAGATAGACTTACAAAGTAGCATGAGAACGATAGAGAAAATCTCCAAATTTCGTACCTGCAAAATCGCAACATCACAGACAGCAAAAAAATAAGACAATCTAACCCGTAAAAAAGGGGAAAAACAAAAGGTTAGAGAAGCTCTAGAAAGGAGGAGGAAGAAGAAAATTTTGAAACAAAAAAAAATACCAACCATATCTTGGTTTCGTTGTTGTCGATCGGAAAAATGAAGGATAAAAGAGGGAAAATGGCACCGTTGGTGATGACGAACAGGAACAAGAAGAGAGGAAGAAGAGCTTTTTGGGGGAAAGAGACAGACATCGAAAGAAAGGAGAAGAAAAGGCGTTGGTCTGAGCTCTGATGTTTCTCTTTCTCGAGCCATGTGCACACCTGACACCACGGAAAAGGAATCTTTGGTAAATCCCAGTCTCTTGTACTATGCTTGGTTGATATAACCAAGTTCGGCGCCTGTCCAATTGTCAAACGGGCTGGACGACCATCAAGAGGAAAGAATCACGGGCCGGACGACCACCAATCATCCAATGGAAGCCAGCCACGTCAGCAATTGAAGCCCAATTGAAAACCTCCCCATTCCCGCATAGACTAGATATGTTAATAAATGACATCCCAAAAAAATGGTAGAAATAAATCTTGGTGAATAAATCAACATGAGTAAATGTTTTTTACACCTGCAGTCTTCAAGGCAATAAAAAAACACTGATTCCTAAAGCAAAAATATTTACCCAAGCAATAGCAATATGTCGAGATCTAAAGGCACTAAGCCAAGTATAACTAAGCTAAACTTCTCTAGCAAAACTGCTGCATTAAGCAAATATGCAGCCATAATTTCCTCTTATACCTGTTAATGGTCTCTAAATACATGCTAGGAATAAACTCACCACATGTAATAGTCTTTTATACACACACATACACATACTTCACCACTGTTCTATAATAATCTGGACTAAACATTTTAATCTTTAGTCCAAATCAAAACATCATATGCAAAAAATAGATAGACACACAGACCAGCCATTTTTGTAATAACTGGTTATCTAGGTGTGATATTTCAAGTAAACCTCTTTTTGTTCCTAATACAAGAAACACACATGGAACAAAATGTTATCCGGTGATTAGCAAATGAAAGATAATGAACAAATTATACCTTAGCAGCATCTTTCAAGGATTTGTGGTAGAGTTCACTACTTAAATTCTGCAAAATGAGAATCAAGAACCACCAAAATAAATCAGCAGAATGTAGTGTTTTATCACCAAATTACATATACCTTAGGCAGCATCTAGTTAATGTTCATACAGAGTTGCTCTGTCAATTGACAAATCTTTAACATGCCTTTTATGCTTGTTCTTTCCCATGTTAAGACTTCTCTCACTCCACTGCCAATTAGTCCCACTCTAACTTATTTTTTGTAACCTGTTAACATATTAATTAGTCAAATAATAATCCTCTAATTGCTAAAAACACATGTCATACACAATATAAACCCAGAAGGAAAACCCGTCTAAAATAAGTTGCATGAAAAAAGGTAGGAAGGCTACTATTAACAAACTGTTCACTAATGAATTAAAGGAGTGAATTTCAAATTATTAGAGCCGATTTTCACATATCAGTTTCTACCATCTATAATTGAGCATAGACATTTCTGATTCATGATATTTGTTCAAAATCTGGTATTTTAATAAAACAGAAGGCTGAAGGGAAAAAATCATCAGAAGATTGCACCTATATAATATCCAACCTCACACTTTTTCTTTTGTCTAAATAAATAGACCAACCAAAATATTATGGGTAAAAAACCTGCACCATGACAAAGATTACACATTCGTACTCATGGGGAAAAATCTTAAATAGAAGACCTCTCTAAGAGATTAGCATTTAAAAACAGATATTTTTCCTTTTGTAAAACTACAATAGAAGAAGAGATTATATAAGCACATAAAGCTTCTCCTTTTTATCAGTAAGTGAAGACCATGAGAAGAGAGAGGAAATTCATGGATAGAGGAACAAAGTCTTTCGGTTGAAAATCAAGAAAATAGATTATAGGGGACAACTTTTTTCCAATTTTAGTTGCTATTTAACAAATTAACAGTTTTAACATTTTGTCAAACATTTGATAAATTAAACATGATTATATCATTACATTACTTTAAAACAGAAAAGGGGAAAAGGGAAAGAAGTAACCCCACGTACAAAAAGACCCAAAAAGTGGAGACCTATGAAATGCACAAATGAATCCAACGTCTAGTGAGGATTGATCAATTTTAAGTTTAAAAGGCTCAAGGAAACATGATAAATTTAAACTTTCCAAGACACAACTAAGAGGATAAACACTTCATGATAACCAAAATTGAAACTTACATCTAATATGTCATAACAAGAAATAAATAACAAAAAAATCCAAAGCAATCTCTTTTGCAGAGAAAAAAATAAAGAAAAGCAGAGTATAAACTGTAATCACATATACGCAAATAGAAGAAGGCTCGCTCAAAACATTCACCAATATTATGCAAAATAGGTTGGGAATATGTTGATCCATACCACCTTATTAGTAGTTTTTGAGAGAATCAAAGAAAATTCCAATTTTTGGACCTGCAACGTCACCAAAATATACAAATTATATAATCAAACATGGATAAGGAACTTTTTAAATCCACCAGAAATAACTTAATCAAATTTGTTAACTGCATTTTAATGTTTTTTAGTCACGGACGGAAAAGATGGAAATCAGGCAAAAGTAAGGGGAGGAAACAGCAAAAATAACTCTTCTTTTAGAAAATAACCATATAAAACCTACCTTCAAAAAAGGGGGGGAAAGCTCAGAAAATAGCATGAGAATGATGGAGGTAATCTGCAAATTTCGTAACTGCAACATCTAAACATTGCAAAAGGAAAAAAAAAAGGAAATTAAAAAAGAAGGAAAAAATACATAAGGCTAGAGAAGCTCTAGAAAAAGAAGGAAAAATAAATTTTGAAGCGAAGCAAAAAATTCCCAACCATATATTTGGTATTGTTGTCGTCGATCAGAGAAAATGAAGGATAAGATAGGAAAAGGAGCAGCTTCAAGAGGGAAGATAGACTTACAAAGTAGCATGAGAACGATAGAGAAAATCTCCAAATTTCGTACCTGCAAAATCGCAACATCACAGACAGCAAAAAAATAAGACAATCTAACCCGTAAAAAAGGGGAAAAACAAAAGGTTAGAGAAGCTCTAGAAAGGAGGAGGAAGAAGAAAATTTTGAAACAAAAAAAAATACCAACCATATCTTGGTTTCGTTGTTGTCGATCGGAAAAATGAAGGATAAAAGAGGGAAAATGGCACCGTTGGTGATGACGAACAGGAACAAGAAGAGAGGAAGAAGAGCTTTTTGGGGGAAAGAGACAGACATCGAAAGAAAGGAGAAGAAAAGGCGTTGGTCTGAGCTCTGATGTTTCTCTTTCTCGAGCCATGTGCACACCTGACACCACGGAAAAGGAATCTTTGGTAAATCCCAGTCTCTTGTACTATGCTTGGTTGATATAACCAAGTTCGGCGCCTGTCCAATTGTCAAACGGGCTGGACGACCATCAAGAGGAAAGAATCACGGGCCGGACGACCACCAATCATCCAATGGAAGCCAGCCACGTCAGCAATTGAAGCCCAATTGAAAACCTCCCCATTCCCGCATAGACTAGATATGTTAATAAATGACATCCCAAAAAAATGGTAGAAATAAATCTTGGTGAATAAATCAACATGAGTAAATGTTTTTTACACCTGCAGTCTTCAAGGCAATAAAAAAACACTGATTCCTAAAGCAAAAATATTTACCCAAGCAATAGCAATATGTCGAGATCTAAAGGCACTAAGCCAAGTATAACTAAGCTAAACTTCTCTAGCAAAACTGCTGCATTAAGCAAATATGCAGCCATAATTTCCTCTTATACCTGTTAATGGTCTCTAAATACATGCTAGGAATAAACTCACCACATGTAATAGTCTTTTATACACACACATACACATACTTCACCACTGTTCTATAATAATCTGGACTAAACATTTTAATCTTTAGTCCAAATCAAAACATCATATGCAAAAAATAGATAGACACACAGACCAGCCATTTTTGTAATAACTGGTTATCTAGGTGTGATATTTCAAGTAAACCTCTTTTTGTTCCTAATACAAGAAACACACATGGAACAAAATGTTATCCGGTGATTAGCAAATGAAAGATAATGAACAAATTATACCTTAGCAGCATCTTTCAAGGATTTGTGGTAGAGTTCACTACTTAAATTCTGCAAAATGAGAATCAAGAACCACCAAAATAAATCAGCAGAATGTAGTGTTTTATCACCAAATTACATATACCTTAGGCAGCATCTAGTTAATGTTCATACAGAGTTGCTCTGTCAATTGACAAATCTTTAACATGCCTTTTATGCTTGTTCTTTCCCATGTTAAGACTTCTCTCACTCCACTGCCAATTAGTCCCACTCTAACTTATTTTTTGTAACCTGTTAACATATTAATTAGTCAAATAATAATCCTCTAATTGCTAAAAACACATGTCATACACAATATAAACCCAGAAGGAAAACCCGTCTAAAATAAGTTGCATGAAAAAAGGTAGGAAGGCTACTATTAACAAACTGTTCACTAATGAATTAAAGGAGTGAATTTCAAATTATTAGAGCCGATTTTCACATATCAGTTTCTACCATCTATAATTGAGCATAGACATTTCTGATTCATGATATTTGTTCAAAATCTGGTATTTTAATAAAACAGAAGGCTGAAGGGAAAAAATCATCAGAAGATTGCACCTATATAATATCCAACCTCACACTTTTTCTTTTGTCTAAATAAATAGACCAACCAAAATATTATGGGTAAAAAACCTGCACCATGACAAAGATTACACATTCGTACTCATGGGGAAAAATCTTAAATAGAAGACCTCTCTAAGAGATTAGCATTTAAAAACAGATATTTTTCCTTTTGTAAAACTACAATAGAAGAAGAGATTATATAAGCACATAAAGCTTCTCCTTTTTATCAGTAAGTGAAGACCATGAGAAGAGAGAGGAAATTCATGGATAGAGGAACAAAGTCTTTCGGTTGAAAATCAAGAAAATAGGTTATAGGGGACAACTTTTTTCCAATTTTAGTTGCTATTTAACAAATTAACAGTTTTAACATTTTGTCAAACATTTGATAAATTAAACATGATTATATCATTACATTACTTTAAAACAGAAAAGGGGAAAAGGGAAAGAAGTAACCCCACGTACAAAAAGACCCAAAAAGTGGAGACCTATGAAATGCACAAATGAATCCAACGTCTAGTGAGGATTGATCAATTTTAAGTTTAAAAGGCTCAAGGAAACATGATAAATTTAAACTTTCCAAGACACAACTAAGAGGATAAACACTTCATGATAACCAAAATTGAAACTTACATCTAATATGTCATAACAAGAAATAAATAACAAAAAAATCCAAAGCAATCTCTTTTGCAGAGAAAAAAATAAAGAAAAGCAGAGTATAAACTGTAATCACATATACGCAAATAGAAGAAGGCTCGCTCAAAACATTCACCAATATTATGCAAAATAGGTTGGGAATATGTTGATCCATACCACCTTATTAGTAGTTTTTGAGAGAATCAAAGAAAATTCCAATTTTTGGACCTGCAACGTCACCAAAATATACAAATTATATAATCAAACATGGATAAGGAACTTTTTAAATCCACCAGAAATAACTTAATCAAATTTGTTAACTGCATTTTAATGTTTTTTAGTCACGGACGGAAAAGATGGAAATCAGGCAAAAGTAAGGGGAGGAAACAGCAAAAATAACTCTTCTTTTAGAAAATAACCATATAAAACCTACCTTCAAAAAAGGGGGGGAAAGCTCAGAAAATAGCATGAGAATGATGGAGGTAATCTGCAAATTTCGTAACTGCAACATCTAAACATTGCAAAAGGAAAAAAAAAAGGAAATTAAAAAAGAAGGAAAAAATACATAAGGCTAGAGAAGCTCTAGAAAAAGAAGGAAAAATAAATTTTGAAGCGAAGCAAAAAATTCCCAACCATATATTTGGTATTGTTGTCGTCGATCAGAGAAAATGAAGGATAAGATAGGAAAAGGAGCAGCTTCAAGAGGGAAGATAGACTTACAAAGTAGCATGAGAACGATAGAGAAAATCTCCAAATTTCGTACCTGCAAAATCGCAACATCACAGACAGCAAAAAAATAAGACAATCTAACCCGTAAAAAAGGGGAAAAACAAAAGGTTAGAGAAGCTCTAGAAAGGAGGAGGAAGAAGAAAATTTTGAAACAAAAAAAAATACCAACCATATCTTGGTTTCGTTGTTGTCGATCGGAAAAATGAAGGATAAAAGAGGGAAAATGGCACCGTTGGTGATGACGAACAGGAACAAGAAGAGAGGAAGAAGAGCTTTTTGGGGGAAAGAGACAGACATCGAAAGAAAGGAGAAGAAAAGGCGTTGGTCTGAGCTCTGATGTTTCTCTTTCTCGAGCCATGTGCACACCTGACACCACGGAAAAGGAATCTTTGGTAAATCCCAGTCTCTTGTACTATGCTTGGTTGATATAACCAAGTTCGGCGCCTGTCCAATTGTCAAACGGGCTGGACGACCATCAAGAGGAAAGAATCACGGGCCGGACGACCACCAATCATCCAATGGAAGCCAGCCACGTCAGCAATTGAAGCCCAATTGAAAACCTCCCCATTCCCGCATAGACTAGATATGTTAAAGAACAAAATATTTGTTGGGATTGAAATGGGGTTATTTCCATTAATTAGTTATTTATAGTTAATTAGTGCTCTGATAGCTTAATCGTTAGATATCAGCAAAGGAAAAAAAAAGGAGGGAAAAGAAAGATAAAATTTAAAAATTTTTCCTTTCAAAATCATGAGAATTGTAGCAAACATCATATCAAAAGAGATGACTAGTCTGTTTCGCTAAATCTAATGATCATTAATGTAGTTTTGTTGCTTATTTGTGTTGTTTAATTTATTGAATATGAACTTTTTGAGCGGTAAAATGTGCGTATTACTTGTTTCTAACTTTTAATTATTTTCATTCTTCTACTAATTCAACTTATATACATGTATGAGGGGTGTTTATGAAATAAAAGTTTCATCTCTCTCTTTAAAGTACTTTTTTAATGTTGCTTTTTCAAATTGGACGAATTTTGTTATCAAAATCTTAATCTCAGGGGAGGCTTGTAAAATTTTACAAATTTCAGAGGAGGCTAGTGAAATGTTTTGAAACTTCAGGGGTGGTTTCTGAAATTATCCCAACTTGAAATATATAAAATATGAGAAGGAGATTCACCAGTCAGTCACTACAAAGTGTGAAACCGACAAGCCCTGCGTCAGTCTCCTCATTGACCTGTTCCTCTCCACACAGAGAGTCTCGCTCATGCACACGTGATCGCAACCGCCTCCCAAGCAACTCCATGCTCCTTGCACATCATCCTTCAAATAAACTATTTACGCATTTGTATTGAAATTGAGATATTCATTCTTCAATAGTAAATATTTTTAATGATTTTTTATTTTAATAACATCAAATATTTTATTCTAAGTTTTAAAATTATTTTAAAAAATTCGTGATTCCCGTGTAAAATATCTATTGTGTATCATTCAAATTCATCATCAACTAATTATGCCACAAACTAATTATAATTTCAAAGCAAATAAACTCACAATCTTTTGTCGTTTGGAAAAAAAAAAAGAGGCTCATTGTTGATATAAAATGGGATTCCTAGGAGCGTCCTTGACATCATATAAACTTCACATCATATATGGAATCCTTATAGAATTTTTCATTCAACTTTGTTAAACAAAAAATAATTTAATTAATAATATTTTCATTTTATAAAAAAATTTATAATTTCAAGGCATATTTTTCATGAAATGACAAATTTATTCTTTTTAAAATAAACACTTGATCTTTAAATAGTGAACATTTTAATTGTTACTATTTCAAAATAAAATTTCCGTACAACTAAAATTGATGCTTCATTATTATCATTTGTCCAAGACTCCATAAAGCCTACCACCATTATTTGGTAGTTTGTGGATAACTAACGCGCCACAAGCATTTAGCTTACGGTTCACGTAATATATCTAATGTTTTTCATGTGAACCCAAATTACCCAATCCCTTCTCCCCCAGCCCTTTACGCTCCAACGATTTATAGGACCCGCAACGCAGGCTTACCCCATATACGAGTTCTGGAATTTGACCACGTGTCAATTGCTAAAAGGAATCCAGCCTAATAAAACGTTGTACTACAAAAACCCCATTAAAAATGAAAAACTGAAAGAAAACTGTTGAATATTCCGCAGAAGAATAGAGCAGGAGCAGGAGGAAGGAGGAAGGAGGAGAATAGGCTCTGATTAACTGAAAAGATTAAAAATGCAACTGATAAATGCAGCAGAGATTGTGAGGATGGTGACTCGGGATAATAGTGGCAATATGTTGGGGGCAGAAATAGAATTTGGAACGGCGTGGTGGTTTATATATGCAGGGATCTCATGCTTTCTGGTATTATTCGCCGGAATCATGTCTGGATTGACTTTGGGGTTGATGTCTTTGAGCCTTGTTGATCTTGAGATTCTTGAGAGAAGTGGGACCCTTACAGAGAAAAAACAAGCTGGTATTCTCATCACCATTCGTTATTTATTTGTTTTCTGTTCAAAGTTTTCATTTTTAGTTAATTGCTTGTTTGTCGATGAGAAGTTGTGGTATGGGATCAGCTTTTGTTGGACCGATGCTGGCTAGAAAGTTGTTGGGATTGTCGGATTATTGCTTGTCTAATTTGGGTTTTGTAAGAAAGGTGAAAATTTGCATATAATTTGAATTTTTGGTACTTAATTGGTTGTTATGATTTCGTTGATGGAAAAACTATGCGTTCCTTTTCGTGTAATATTGTGGTCGGACCCCCCAAGGAGAGTAGGGGAGCTTGGTGATGCCATTGGCAAGGATCATCTCATTGTTTGCTCTATAAAATTTTGTTTTTGATTGAAGAAGAGATTGTAGGATGAGTAGTATTTGTTTGGACCAATGCGAGTTGGAAGTTTGAGTGGGATTGTAGGACGATTAATTTTCTGATGCGGGTTTTTGTGTGAAATATGAAAAATGGATAGAATTTGGGTGTCCTGGGATTTAATTGGTTATCTTGGCAACAATATGTGGTTCAGGACTATCATTGGCAACCACTTGCCATTATTCCTAACGATGCTTGATTGTGCACTAATCATGATACACAAAACTTTCCTAATTATAACATATTTTGATATTAAATCTTTGTTATCCACTAGTGTCCTTCTACTGTCTGTATGTTGTATTTTGTGCTAGGTGTGTTGTAAAGTGTTGCATACATGTTCCACAAGCATTCCAAAAGTGTTGAGCGTGAAATTGGTCCTGATTTTATGTCAACTATGGAAACAACTAAAGGAGTATCGGATGTGTTTCCTGAGTTTCTCTATTGAGCACAATCTCATACGAGTTTTGAGTGTCTATGGTCATGGGAGCTGTTGGCTGAGTAGTAATCCGAGGTCTACTTTTTTGTTCAGAAAATAACTAATAAATTTCCTGCTTCCCATTGTCCACTTTTGTTTGTAGCTACCATACTTCCAGTGGTTAAGAAGCAGCACCAGCTTCTTGTGACTTTGCTCCTATGTAATGCTGCTTCCATGGAGGTAATACTAAAATATCTGCTTGAAAGCCTGAATATCCTGCTTAAAAGAAGAAAGTTATGTCAAATATCTTGGTAGAAGGAAACTTTCAATTTGTCTTGGTGTAGTGAAATGAAAAGTAGGATAGTACTGATGAACTCGGCTAAAATTTTTGTGTCATGATGACTTACCCTTTATCTGTTTGACTATCTGTCGTCTAATTTGCAGGCCCTTCCAATATACCTGGACAAGCTTTTCAATCAATTTGTTGCAATTATATTGTCTGTGACTTTTGTTCTAGCATTTGGAGAGGTAAATTGGATCAAACTGCTATTGGATTACAAGTCATCGGTACCTTTTGTCTTCATTCCGTCATTGCAAATTACAATCACCAATTTCTGGTTAGGTCATTCCTCAAGCAATATGCACTAGATATGGACTTGCAGTTGGCGCAAATTTTATTTGGCTCGTGCGCATTCTTATGATCATTTGCTATCCAATTGCTTATCCTATTGGAAAGGTACATATTGTGCTACTCAAGTGAAATTATCTTTGATAACAAAGCAGATTTGACATTTGCAATCTACTTCATTCCCAAGTCAAGATGGGTACCACACATAAAGTCTGGATGAAATCTCTTTTCATTATTTCATCCAGTATCTGGGTGTGCCCCGTGTCACTCTCCTTGTTACGTATGCTATCTAGAAGCTTTATTTCTAATGGGTCAATTGATATACAACCATCATGCTTCCCGTGCCTTAATTTATATATGTCGGTTGATCTGTATGTCTTGGTCTATATGGTAGCTTCTAAAGGAGATTTCGTCTTAGTAGGCTGTACAGAAAAGCCCATGGGATTTGAAAGATGTCCCTCTATCATTCCATTAAAATCACAGCCAATTTATCATGGATGTACTTGAATTGGTGTGGTTACAGATTCTAGACTGTTTGTTGGGACACAATGAAGCACTGTTTAGACGAGCTCAACTGAAAGCCCTTGTCACTATCCATAGTCAGGAGGTCAGTTATGTTGCAATTATTGACATTAACTCAAACAGAGTTATAGGATGCCAATCTTCAGTAGCTTTTTCTTGTGAGAAAATGTGCTATAGTTGACATGTGCAGGCTGGTAAAGGAGGTGAGCTTACGCATGATGAGACAACGATTATCAGCGGAGCACTAGATTTGACGGAGAAGGTACTTCTGACAACAAAACTATCTTATTAAGAAGTATAGTTCTATATTTGTTTGCTAACTTGTTTGTCCTTCTTTTCACTTAAATACCTCCTGAATCATGACACAGCACACAGACACACATCCTAGTTGAACAAGCATTTTCTTATTTAAACTTTAGCATGTAAGTGCTTTGAATTTGGTTTCTGCAAAAGTATGGGGATTGAAATGAAGTTGGTTTTAGAGAATTTCTTCTTTTAAACTCTTTGCCCCTTCATGATATTTAACCATGATGTTAAAGCTGATTCATATGCAACTATTGTTAAAATTGTTATAGGGTAATTAACTTTATACTACTATTCCTCAATTACTTGCCACAGGAGTCGTTCATTTCTAAAATTTAAATTTTCCTTTTCATTCTGGTTGACAGACTGCTGAGGAGGCCATGACACCTATTGAGTCAACATTTTCACTGGACGTCAACTCCAAATTGGACTGGTAATGCTGAAATCCATGCTTCAGCTAATACTAACTATATGATCAGACTGTGTGCTTGTGTCTATGTGATATGGTAAATAAATTTGGATTTTCATTGCAAGTTTCATAAAGATACGGCTCGTATAGTTGATTAGAGTAACTGCTTTTAAATAATATGTTTTCGTGGTCATGAAAATAATA